ATATTTATTTGTAAAAAATTTGGAAAACCATTTATCATTTTCCTTCCACTTCACAATGATGTGCCACTTTGTGTTGGTCTATCACATCAAATCCCAATAAAATACACATATGTTTTTGGCTGTAACATGACAAAATGTGGAAAATTTCAAGGGGTATGAATACTTTTTCAAAGCACTGTACATGCACTTGTATGAAACATGCAAAAACATACCAAAAAACACATGAAGAAGCAGAAGCATGCAGTAGGTGTTTCTGCATTGGAAAACCACAGATCTCCACAAAGGCACGCAGAAAACAATTGTTCTCAATGTGCCCTGTTAACACACTGGAAAGCTGCCTTCGGGTTAGGTGCAGTGTGGTGCAGAAATCTTCAACATGTCAGTATTTTTCTATCTCACACCAAAGCTCAGCTGCAGCTCCTGGCTGCGGTGCAAAGGAAGGTTAAAAAAATGTAAACAGCTCTTTGTGCTTTGTAAGGCACCAACGGAAACCTTTTGCACAGTAAGCCATAGCACTTTACCACTTATGAACTGTGGGACAGAGAAGCAGCACAAAGAGTTAAACAGGTGTCCTGCAGTGCAAGAAGCATGCTGATAGATGGAGAGAGCAGGGTAAGAGAGATGCATTATCTGCAAAGGTAATGTTATACAAATGTTATACACTAAATATATACACTATATTGCCAAAAGTATTGGGACACCCCTCCAAATCATTGCATTCAGGTGTTCCAATCATCTCCATGGCCACAGGTGTATAAAATCAAGCACCTAGGCATGCAGACTGCTTCTACAAACATTTGTGAAAGAATGGGTCGCTCTCAGGAGTTCAGTGAATTCAAACGTGGTACTGTGATAGGTTTCCACCTGTGCAATAAGTCCACCTGTGAAATTTCCTTGCTACTAAATATTCCACGGTCAGCTGTTAGTGGTATTATAACAAAATGGAAGTAACTGGGAACAACAGCAACTCAGCCACGAAGTAGTAGGCCATGTAAAATAACAGAGCGTGGTCAGCGCATGCTGAAGTGTCATAGGAACCCGGAAGTGAGGTCACACCCGGCCCGCTGGTAGCGAGGCTTGGAACACACGCTGGCCATCACCAGTGCGATTTATGACACACACAGGCTGCACAGTTAAGTGCCGGTATTTGGGCACCTTCACATGTGAGTGTATTGTCATTCTATTTATCTGTACCATGCTCTTTAATAAACACTACTACTACACTTAGAGCATTTTATCTATTTGGTTTATTTGAGCTACTTGGAGCACTACCTATATTTTGAGGAGAGCCTGGGATTGGGAATCCATCCATTATCCGTTTGCCCAGAGCTTTATGACCACCTGTTTGGGGGTTATTATCCTTTGTTCCTTGGATCACCATTCCATATTGGGAGATCAGGAGGCTCGGTCCATGAGGGCTTGCAGTTGGCGGTCTGCATATTGCATGACCATAGAGCGCTTTTTGACCACCTTAACCGGGGTCAATAATTTCTGGTGAGTGAGGAATTCACTTATTGCATACACGTAGTGAAAAAGAAAAATGTTTTAATCTATGGAATATTATTTTATGGGACTGTTATTCACCATATGTTTAATATATTTTGCTTGTGACTTTAAGTCACTTTATGTTGTTGTGAGATTATTTTGTTATCATCTGTCACATATTTCATTGATTTAGCACCTACCTATTTTATTTAACAAGTGCATTTCACTTTTTAGGAGCAGCTGCTATCATTGCTGCCTTAATGCTGACACCATCTATATATTTTTGATGTTATTCACTTACTTAGGTTTGTTCTTCAAGGCGCCACAATATTTTTTTACAATCATGATTCAAATTACTAATAGGAGACCAACTGGCAAGAAAATAAAAACATGGCTCAGAAAAAGGAGCCATTACCATGGTAAATGATGTTGTGGTAATCATCCTAGTTTATCAGAATGGACATCAAGAACGCATTATTTATTATGCTGTATATACACTGTATAAACATTTTCATTTTTAAAGTAGGTAAAAACTGCCTATGATTATCAGTGTATTTATGATTCTTACAAATAGCTGTCCAGTGATTTTATTGTTTTGTCCTACTATGCAGCTTATTGAGCCATAACTATACTGTTACTGTGTTTCTGCAGAATTATTTTTCTTAGTATCTGTAATCTCACAGCATCAAACGAATCTGAAAAGCATATTATTGCTTCAAAATTCCATATATGCACAGGCTCCTTACTATTCAATTTATAGAACAGCTTGAGGTAAAATTAAACAAGAAAGATAAAAAGCAAAGCTCAAGAGATACACAGTAATTGTAGTTTTGATGGATTACATGGTCAGAAAATAAAGAGTTATGTAGCTACACAACCATATTGCTCTGTGTGAGGTTGACTAGAAGAGCAGTTTGTGCATAGTAATAGATTGCCAAATAACTAGTCACTGGGGAAATAATCTCACTCTACAGGGATTTTAGAAGTGTGTACCGACAGTGCTTTTGTGGCAATTTGCTGTTGGAGCCTAAATGTGCACATGGTATAATAAGCATGGTTACATGGTAAAATACATTTCAGCCTCTATGTATTGTTTTCACATGACAAATACTTTCATGACATGCCTGTCTGTCAAAATCAGTAAATCAAGACAGAAAGGGTGAAGGAGAGTAAACATTCACAGTCAGACAATTTTACATATGAACTGATCTGTATTGATTCACAGTCACAAACCTGAACTGAATTGGAAGGCAACTAATTATTTTTTGAGGGCATCTTCCGATTACTAATCTATCACTATACTATCTTCAATAGCAGTCCCTCAGTATAATATCCACAACCAGCATGATAATTCCACCACCAGCAACTGTCACTACAACATCAGCTACATGATCCTCTTACCACTTGCTTAGCCTTAATATTATTATACAAGATGTATATAGTGCTAACAGTTTGTGCAACGAGGGCAGACAGTACAGTTACAATACAATTCAATAAAGGAGAGGAATCAGAGGGACCTGTTCGTTAGCGCTTCCAATCTAAAAAGAATCCCTTATAGTCCCTAAATACTGCTACTAGCATCATAACCCCCAACACCAGCCCATCAGTCTAATATCCACCATCAGCACTATAACCCTTCACCCCTAGTACAGCAGCCTAGCTCCACCGCCAGCATTTTAACTCTTGCTCCCACTTATATTCCTGCAGTCCAATCTCCACCACCAGTATTTTAACCCTCCAATTTAGTGGAGCAGACTAATGTGTGCCACCAGCATCAGAACCCCCCACCACTAGTCCAGCAGCCTAATCTCTATCACCACCCTCATGACCCCCTACTCCCAGTCCAACAGCCTAATCTACTTTGTCAGCATCAGAACTCTCCATTCACTATCCAGTATTCTTGTATCCACTACAAGCATCACAACCCCCCCAGCCCCAGTTCAGCAATCTAAAACCAAACTCCACATAATCTCCCACCACCAGTCCAACAGCCTAATTTCCTCAACCAGCATTATAATCCCCCACCCTTGGTCCAGAACCCTTTTATCCACCACAGACATCTTAATACCCCCAGCCCCTGTCCAGCAACCTAAAATCAACCACCAGCAGCATAACCACCCATCACCAGTTTGACAAACAGACCTTTGTAACTAGCATTATAATACCCCACCCTGGTCAAGCAGCATTGTATCAACTGCAAACATCCCAACTCCCCAACCCCAGTCCTGCAACTCAAAATCAACCACCAGCATCATAATCCCCCACCACTACTCTGGCAACTTAATCTCCACTACCATTGCAACCTGTGTCCCAGTCCCTTGTGTTTTTAGATTTTAGCATCTCAGTGCTAATGTGCCACTACCCCTGTAGTCATTGTGGGGGCAGTAAACATTCAGTGCTCTAAGGTATGTTAGTGTTTTTTGAGAGTGACATTTTTTTTATAGGGATGCTGCCAGAAATAGACAGTACAAAAACTACATACTGTACAGTATATTATAATAATAATGTTAATATTTGTTCAGTTTTACATTTCAAGAAGCAATCCATGAAGGTGAACAGGAATTTGAAAAAGACTACTCTTGCAGTGAGGCTCTCTCTCGTTGCTAGGGATTTTGCCTATGGTACTAGTGGAAAGCATTTTTGCTTACCTTATCCCTCGCTTCCCATGCAGCCGAAATTCAGTTTTTTTGTTTCTCTAAAGCTTTGGCTTGTGGAAGGACTCTTGGGGGGAAATTTACTAAAACTGGAACACTCAGAATCTGGTTCAGCTGTACATGGTAGGTAGCCAATCAGGTTCTAACTTGTTCATTTAAGCTTTGACAAAATCTAGAAGCTGATTGGTTTCTATGCACAGCTGCACCAGATTTTGCACTCTCCAGTTTTAGTAAATCCCCCACACCCTTGGTGTCCTCACTTAGAATGAGGGACTGATGGTCCTGCATTGTAAGTGGTGACCTCACAGCTGTGACTGGCTGTCAGAGCGTCAAAAAGAAGCTGTTGGATTCAGTCATATGGTAGCAAGACCCTGCAGGAGCAAGGAATAAGGTAAGTAAACATGCTTTTTGCTGGTACCTCAAACAGAAATGAGCTCCACTGCAAGGGTATTTTTTCATTTTCTGAGTTTAGCTTTGTAAATAATAAATAATATGAATGATAAAAGACCTTTATAAATCATTTTTAAAGAGTCTTGTGTAGTGTTGTCTAGAACTGTTGTCAGACAAATGTTTTCCTCTTCTCCTGGTGCCAAAGGTGTAATATTAGTGACATAGAGGAAAGGGTCCTGGGATGTAGAAGTAGAACTGCCTAAACCCCCCTGGGGTGGAACTGCATGCTGTGTTGGATCATTCAGTGTTGAATTGCATGGCACTAAAGAGCAGAATGTTCCTGATCTTTCTTTATGCCACACGTGAGATATTTCACATTGTACTAGTATGTTCTTTGCAACAAAATGCAACCAGTTGTTATCTTAATTGGAAATATTTCAAACATGCTATTTTCTTGTATTGATTTCTTACCTTGTTCAATGTCCAGAGAATAACTGTCTATCTGCAAATTGAGTCGTTGTGCTGCATGATTGCAAAACTCTTCCAAAATACAATGGACAGCCTTGGTAACATTATAGGGCAATGGTTTAGCAAATTTCAGTTTGCTGTTCACAATCACGCTCCCTTTCTTGAAGTTGAGAATTTCAAGGTTTTTAAACCCAGTGAGATTGGACTGCAGATACGGGAGCAGCTGTAAGAAACACGTGTATTATATTAACACAAAGAGTTGTTTGTTTACACTTGACAATTATTGCTTTTGTTAGTCAGTATCAGTTAGATATTTTTGAGCTGCTTTATTCTTTTAATACCAATATACTGTATTTGTGTATTTACTGTAAATTTCAAATGAGATAAAATTAAATTTAATTATGTACATTTCTCTAGTTTACTGATTCTCAGCCATTGGTTATGGTTAATGCCTTAATTTTGAAGCCTATCCCAAGCCTAAAAACAAAAATGTATGTAATATATTGGGGCCTAGCAGTTCTTATATGTAGTGTTTGTTCTCTTTATTTTTACCTGCTACTGCTGTGCATAACACACTTACTATCTTAGGGTGGCAATGCTCACTTACTCTACTGTGCCTTTTGAGGGAGCCATGTTTGTCACCCTGGCTGGACTTCAATCTTCCTCTCTTCATCTTCATAACATGGGGATGGAGAGACACTGCAATCCTGGCAAAATGAACAGGTATTTTCTATGCTTGCTAAAAATGGTCTTTCTTAGCATGAAAAGTAAAAATGAATGCAGCTGCTAGATCTAAGAACTGGTAAGCAGCAATATCCTTTAATTAAAGAAAAATGTTTACTACAAAACTCTCTCTCTCTGGACTCTGGGAAATGCAGACACACAGCTGCTCCATTGCATTGCTCAATAATGTCATTCTAATACTAAGGGTCTGTGAAGGGAGGAGAGAGCAGATGATTTTGTCTCCTTTCTTCACAAATTTAACCATTTCTTCCTCCTATGCTTTAGCAGAACTGATAATGTGTTTGGCCTCCTTTTATCTATTTTGATGCACCTCACTATCAGTTACTTTCAGTTTTCTTGTATGTCCTATATGCTGATTATCTCTTATCTCTGTCATGAACCATATTGTTTTTTCTTCCATTTTCTCTTACTAATTTGCCTGACATATACCCCAGGTGCCTCCAGGGTGATAGTTCCCACTGATTGAAAACTTCTGCAATTTTATTACAGCCTTTTAACTTTTTTTAAATCACCAATTTGTATGTTGTTGGGAATCTAAAACATTTGTCTTCGCATATGATTTTTAAGGTTTTATTCAAATATCAAACCAAAGACATTGATGATCACTAGACCCCATCTCAACTTCCAATGAATCCCTACTTTAAGGTACCAGGTCTAGAAAAAGATCTCTGTCTGGACTATTTACTAAACCCTTTTCAATGCCTCAACATATTTCTGCTCCTGCTTGTAAGCACTGTTTTAAAATTGCAGTTATTGTTCAACTTGTCAAAGTCACCAATACTAAACACTTCTCACTTCATTGTCATTTGAGTTATCCTGTCAATCAACAGGTTATCGTAATCCCTCTCTGGTTTGCAAATTGACTCAGTAAGTCTGAAATATTTAATTTTTGTTTTTTAATTAATGTTAGCTTTTTCCTATTTTTCACATAAATGGTAACTTCACTTCTCCTCTTTCTTTCTCTGTTCCTGTATAGTGAGTAGCCTGGTATAGGTTTTTCCCAGTCCTTAGAATCTCTGAACCATGCCTCTGTAATTGCAGCAAAGTCTAAGTTATCCTAAGTCAACCCAACATGTTTCATCCCAAAAGACATTCTCAAGGGACTGGCTCCCTTGAGAATGTCTTCTGGGACAAAGCATGTTGGAGTGGAGCCTATGCTAACGTCATCATGCTTTTGGATTGAGCAGTGTCTGGATTGTTTGTTTTGCTCATATACTTAATGTGAGTACCTCACTTTGTTGCTAATAAAATGTTAAAATAGTTTTACACTATGAAGCTTGTTATTTGTTCTCTTTGGTGTAAGTAATACTGACACATGCTGAGTGGAGGTACTGGCTGCAGCTGAATTCCTTTGATCTCTACTGGTGTGCCCTGTGATTCTCAATCATCCCACAACATTTGCATTATGTGTGAACTGACCTCTGAAACTTTGAGGTCTGTTCATCTGGTAAAGGCTGTCATTTTATATATTGGTGGTGGAGTCACAAGGGATCTTGAAGAAGCATTCATATCACTGGATCACAATTATATTGTATGTGTTGGACTTACATACACATTTTTTGTGCTTAAGGGTGTTATGTATGTTTTATTATTTTAAAGGTATAGCGCAGCAATGTTTGTTTTTGAATGTATGTGGGAAGCTGGTATCTCTCTCTAAACAGTATGCGGTGTCAATAAAAAAGAAAAACACACACAAACACTTGCAGAAATATGGACTTTACTGAAGATAATGAGAAGCTTAAACTAATAAAAATAAAAGTGATGTTTTATTCCCCCCTGCCCTTATGATCTCGCTCTCTCTCCCTTTTTTCTCTGTTATCCCCCCTAATTTTTGTCATCTCTTCCCTTTCTTTTTTTTGTTCTTTTTCTACTTTCTTCTTTTATGATCTACCTTTCATTTTTCGTTTCCTCCATTTCTTTTAAACTGGTCACATTAGGCAGATGCTGAATCCGCTAGAGGCAAAGCCCCAACTGGATGCTGCTGACGCTCATCGCATTGTGATATAACTTTTATGAAGCATAGGTTGGAGCAATAGCAGTGATTGCCAGAGACCTTACATTAGGATACTTAATCTGACACACTCAGAGGTAGCTTCTTTCAGGTGTCTCAGTATATCACATACTTCTTAGATTGGTCACCCTACGTTCCTCAGGTTATACAGTATTAAATCTCCTTTAAGATTACATGATGTAATAAATGTTTTTTTCCCAACTTTTGCCACACATTACTGCTGTAAACCCTATTGTGTTTCTGAACTGTTAAAACCTGTTGTCACTATCTTCTTTTTATTATATTGAAAAATTGAAGAAAAACTTTCTGAAACAAACAGTGATGTTTTAATACTCTGAAGAAGCAGACAAACAGAAAAGTAATGGATGTCTTATTAACATCACCAGCCCTGAAGAATATGAACTATCAGTGAGTATTACTTTGTTACCCTGAGTAAAACATTGATAGTATAAGAATACAGTTTTGATTTCAATAATAAATATTTACCCACCAGATGCAGGAACTGATGTTCAAGTGTTTTGTATTCTGGGGAACTTTTATTGAACAGGTCTTCAGAAAATGGCATATTAGTCACCCTAAGGCTGAAGAACACAACAAGCTCTTTTCCTCTAATAGCAGAAATTTCTGAGGTAGACGTTAACTGGTCCAGGGAGGAGGAGGCTGCTGTGTAATTTGGGGGAATATCTGGACTTGCAGTTGAAATTTTACTTTCTTCTACCTCTGTGCTCAGTAAACCTGGGGCCATATCTTGTGTTCCAATTCCTGAGACTGTGGAAGCTTCCTCTTTATATGTGCTCAGTATACTTGTGCTCATTATATCTGTGTCCATATCCTGTGATCCAGTTTCTGGGATGGTGGAAGCATCCTCTTTATATGTGCTCAGTATACTTGTGCTAAGTATACCTGTGTCCATATCCTGTGCTCCAATTCCTGAGACTGTTGAAGCTACCTCTTTGTATGTGCTCAGTATACTTGTGCTCAATATATCTGTGTCCATATCCTGTGCTCCAATTCCAGAGACTGTGGAAGCTACCTCTTTGTATGTGCTCAGTATACTTGTGCTCATTATATCTGTGTCCATATCCTGTGCTCCAATTCCTGAGACTGTGGACGTTTCCTCTTTATATGTGCTCAGGATACTTGTGCTCAGTATACCTGTGTCTATATCCTGTGCTCCAATTCCTGAGACTGTGGAAGCTTCCTCTTTATAGGTTCCTGTAAAACTCGATTCTTCTATCATAGTAGTAGCTGTTAAAGTAGTATCTTCCAGGGTAGTAGAGATGCTCTTCTCTTCATATTCATGAGAGATCTCCGTTACTACTGATTGATCTGTTGATAAGGAAATTGAAGAGGTTGGTGTCATTTGGTCGAAGAATGTAATGATTTCTGGAGTAGTTTGTTCAAGTTCTACAACTCCTTCTGGGGTAGCATTTTCAAGTTCTGCAGTTACTTCTGTAGAAGTGTCTATAAGTACTTCCATAGCTTTTGTTGTAATATCTTTGGTCACTTCTATAGATTCTGTTATTATGTCTTTGGCAATTGCTGCTTCTTCTACAGTACTGTCTGCAAGTACTTTAATTATTTCTGGTGTTGTGTATTCAGATTGTGCTATAATTTCATGAGTTGTTTCTGCGCCTACTTCTATTGCCTCCAAACTAGTTACTTCAAATTTCTTTGGTGTAGTTACTTCAAGTGTTTCTATAACTGCTGGACCAGTGATGGAACTAATTGATTCATAGCCAGTGGGAAGTTCAGATGGTGCAACAGTCAAAATAACTGATTCCATCTCCTGGGCAGTGGACACTGACATATCTGAATCTAAATAAGCAGGTAATGTTTTAACAGTTCCTATGGTTATTGCTTCAGTAGATGAAAAATGTTCCTTTAAATCATCCGAATGATCTATACCTGTAATAATAAAATAATGTTAAAACATTTGTTGTACACTTTAATTATCATTATTCTTAGTTGTGTGTTTGATTGTATTATTATACACTGGGAAAAATAAATGAAAATCAAAAAAGCTTTCAGCATGACTTCAATTGAATTTTTAATTAAATCTACAACATAGTCATAATCACCTTTTTAAAGTGATTTAGTCTTACCATGATAATAAGGACAGGTGTTCCATTTCTCACCATTTATCAAAAACTATTCTATCAGCTTTAGCTTGTCTTTATTGTAAAATTTGTGAGTGCTTGTACAACTGTGAGAACATTACACTGTAAAACCACACAGCACTCGAGATTGAAGTCTTATCCTAATATACCGGTAGATATATTTCCTGATCTTTTGACCAATTGCCTTAATGACCAGGCTTCTTTTTGCTATTCAGCATTGCAACTGATAATTGCATGGTCATGCAATGCTGTACCCAAACAAAATTTATGTCCTCTTTTCACACAAATAGAGTATTCTTTTGGTGGTATTTGATCACCTGTGCGCTTTTTATTTTTCGTGCTATAAACAAAAAAAGACCAAAAATTCGGAAGAAAAACAATATTTTTTACTTTCAGCTATAAAAAATATATAGTAAACTCAACGTTAGTCATAGATTTAGGCTGAAATGTATTCTGCTACATGTTTTTGGTAAAAAAAAAATCCCAATAAGTGTATATTGATAGCTTTGTGTAAAAGTTATAGCGTCTACAAACAATGGTATAGATACTGCAATTTACGCATTTTTTTGCTATACAGCACTGCGCTAGTTTAACTGACAAGAAATTTAAAAAGAGGCATGGTGAGTATTTTGCAGATCTCATTTTTTTCTCACAAGGTTTTGAGATATAAAAAAAGAAAAGAAAAATATATGTTTTTGCTTTCTTTCTTCATTTTACAAAAACTTGTGGCAACAAATGAGATCTGCAAAATACTCACCATGCTTGGTTATCAAATTCCTTGGGGTGTCTACTTTCCAAAAAGGGGTCATTTGGGGGGGGATGGGGGTTTGGTGCTATCCTGGCATTTCAGGGTCTCCAAAACTGTGATATGTAGTCAGAACGTGTAATGAGGAAATAAAGCCCTTTAAAAGCCTGAAGGTTCTTATTAGATTTTGGGGTCCTGTACTTGGCTAGACTCCCAAAAAGTCTCTCACATGTGGTACCCCCCATACTCGGGAGAAGTAGCAGAATGTATTTTGGGGAGTAAATCCACATATACCCATGGCATGTGTGAGCAATAAATCATTTAAATGCCAATTTTGTGTAAAGAAACATTTTTTTTTTTTATTTTCAAAAAACTTGTGGTAAAAAAATGAATTCTTCTATTGACTCAACATGTCTCTCAGCAAATAGTTTGAGGTGTTTAATTTCCAAAAAAGGGTTGTTTTGGGGGTGCGGGCATTTTATTCCCAACATTAGAAGTTTATGCCACACATCATTCACTCTTCTAACCTCCTAAAGACCAAGCCTTTTCTGACACATTTTGTTCACATGAAAAAAATATTTTTTGCTAGGAAATTACTTTGAACCCCCAAGAATTATATATATTTTTTTAAAGCAGACACCCTAGTGAATAAAATGGTGGGTGCTGCAATTTTTCATGTCACATAGTACTCGCGCAGCGATTTTTCAAATGCTAATTTTTTGCAAAAAAATACACTTTTTTGACTTTTAATGCACAAAAACACAATATATTTACCAATTATTTAGTAAAATATAAAAGATGACGGTATTCTGAGTAAATAGATACCAAACATAACATGCTTTAAAAACTGTGCATGCCCTGTGCAATGGCGACAAACTGCTACATCTTTAATATCCACAGCCAACGCTTTAAAAGCCTTTACAAGCTACCATTTTAGATTTACAGAGGGGATCTACTGCTAAAATTACTGCCCTTGATCTAACGTTCGTAGCGATACCTCACATGGATGGTGCAACCGCTGTTTACATACTGGCACAGGGTCAACGCTTGTATATGCAGGTGTGCGCGCACAGGGGGGGGGGGGGTGAGGGTGCTTTTTTTTTTACGTTATTTTGATTTTTTAATTATTTTTTACACTGTCCCTTTCATTTTTTAAATCACTTTTAATGCTATCACAGGGGATGCAAATATCCCCTATAACTTCAATGGGCATTGTCATATATTCTTTTTTGAGAAATCTGGGGTCTATCAGAATCTATATATCTCCTCTGTCCTTACATTATCTAATCTCACCAAGATCAGTGTGATCAAATACTTTCCCAATTTACAAATGGTGCTGTTTATATCCTGCGAAACTGAAGTGATGAAATGCTCATAGCTTCCGATTTCTCTTAGACTATAGAGATGATTGGCACCATTCCGGTCTCCAATCAGCAATATTGTCAGCTGGCAGAAACACCAGCTGCATTCTCAGGTTCCCCAGATGGCACAGGACTGCCCGAGAAGGCCATGGAAAGGGAAGGGGGGGGGCATTGTCTCCCGCTGCTTGTAAAAGCAATCCTGCAGCTAATTAGCCACTAGGATTGTTTTTACATGAAAATGGATCGCTGGCTGAAATAAACAATACCAGGATGATGCCTGCAGCTGTAGGCATCATCCTGGTATAACCATTCAAATTCCAGTGCTGTACCAGTACATCGCTGGTCCTTGCTGGGTATATATGCTATGCTCTTTTTTTTTTCGTATGCAGCCTGTGGGCTGAATGAAAAAAAGAGAAGAAATCTCTGCCAGAAAAAGTGTGTGGTATGCCCACCATTAGAATATACTGCCCTGCATCCTCCCACTTCTAATGGTGGGCACACATTAGGTCGCATGGTGCTACATGCACCAATTCCAAGATTGTACAAATGTCTAAATAGTGGCACGCTTGAATAAAAATTGTCCACATAAAAGTGGTAATCCATATGGAAAAAGGATGACACCAAGCACAAACTATCTTGCCACTACTCCCCATGTAGTCTGGGCATCCGGGCGGCTCCACGTGACTATCGTTTCCCTCGTAAATCCGAAACTTAATGTATAGCCTGATTCCCTCTCACAGGTCTTGTACATCTTGACCCCATATCTGGCACGCTTGCTGGGGAGAAATTGTTTGAATGCAAAGCGGCCAGAAAAATTATTGAGTGGCTCATCAAAGCAGATTTTTTTTCTGGGGAGTATAAATATCTGAAAATTTTTGGTTAAGGTGATTTAAGAGGAGCCAAATTTTGAGGAGGCGGTCAAATTCAGGGTCACCCCGAGGATGACAGAGTGTATTGTCGTTGAAATGCATAAAACACATTATACTCTCATATCTATGCCTGGCCATGGCAGCAGAGAACATGGGCATATGATGAATCGGGTCTGTGGACCAATACAACTGCAATTCATTTTTTTTAGTAATGTCCATGTTAAATGTTAGGCCAAAAAAAATGTAAATTCGGAAACTGTAATGGGTTTCCATGCGAATGGTCTGGCAAGGTTTGAAGTTGGGTTGGCGGCGATAAATTGTTGTGCATATAAATTGCTTTGATCCACAATCAATGCATACAGATCTTCCATGAAAAACAGCTTAAAAAAATCAAGGGGCATAGTTAAATTTGCTGTTTCCACCTGAATTCCGGGTTGGGCAGTGAATAGGGGAAGTACGGTTGCTGCAGAATTTTTAGGCTGCCAATCAGGATTTGGAAGCACATCCAGAAGGATACTATGGGCGTAGAGCAACTATGGTTGCAGGACAATACTTGTGCTCACCACCGCACCAGCTTGTACTGCACGTATGGGACTCGCCATGTCACCAAGTGATACTGCAGTGCTGGTATGTGAAAGACCAGGATGTACTAGGCCGCTGATTCTTGCAAGTTCACCAAATGGTAGAGCGGCACTAGTACTGGCACTCTGCTGCATATGAGAGTCATCAAAATTTACTGGCAATTTACTGGCAAGTGCTAACAGAGATCAGGCCTGATTCTGCGAACATTGCGGTTTTGTGCGCAATGTATCAAGTGACAGTGACCTACTGGCACTGCACTTGCTTGGGGAGAAGGGGGGGGTAAGCATAGGGATTAAATGCAGGTGCCGGCAGGTGCAGAGGCTGATCCTGCTAACGCTGTCTTTTTGGGGACACTGTACTGATCTGTATGCTGGTATTGTGCTGATCTGATCAAAGATATTGATCCGTTCAGACACTATACTAGCAATGGAGGTTTATTGTGTATGAACGTGTTCCTGGCAATCAAGGGGTTAAATGTGATTACTGGTGTACTGATGGGCAATCTGATGCTATCTGGGGAGGGCGTGAAAACTACGGGAGCGCAAATCACGTATATATATGTGATTTTGCACACCCATGCCACCCTGCAGCAGTATTTCTGCTATAGGGCAGTGAGGAAGCAGTTAAAGAAGCGGTTTGTGTTACAGCACTGCGTTACTTTACTGACAATTGCGTGGTCATGCAACGCTGCACCCAAATTAAATTATGTCCTTTTTTTCCCACGAATTGAGCTTTCTTTTGGTGGTATTTGATCGCCTGTGCGTTTTTTATTTTTTGCTCTATAAAAAAAAGCCCGACAATTTTGAGAAAAAAAACAATATTTTGGACTTTTTGCTATTAAACATGTCCAGTAAAAAAATTTAAAAATCAAATTTCGTCATAAATTTAGGCAAAAAAATGTATTCTGCAACATGTCTTTGCAAAAAAAATCCCAATACGTGTAAATTAATTGGTTTATGTGAAAGTTATAGCGTCTACAAATGGCGGTATAGATACTGGAATTTTTTTTTTTATACTAATAATGGCGGCGATCAGCAACTTATGGAGGCGATCAGTGACTTATAGCGGGACTGCAGGACTGTGATGGGCATTCTGACACTGGGAGAAACTGACTTGGTGTCCCTGACATCTCCAGTGACACCAATACAGTGATCAGTGCTAAATAAAAGCACTGACACTGTACTAATGGCACTGCGGAGGAAAGGGTTAACATGAGGGGTAATCAAATGGTTAACTGTGTGTAGGGAGTGTTTTACTAGGAGGCGGGGGTGTGTGCTTCACTGTATGCACACTGCTCTGGATGGCTCTGCTCAGCCATCCAGAGCAGTGTGCCAAAACTGACAAGGAGGAGGGCTGTTGGTAAACAATGCAGCCGTCCTCCCTGCCGGTGATCACTGGTAATCACTGGGCAAAGGCGGTTAATCACCGGCCGGGACGCGGTGATCTACACCTTGGCTGTGATCGGCAGCGCGGGTAGGGCATGCACGCCCCCTACCCGGAAATGCAGAATCACGTACATATACATTATCCTGCACACAGAGGCTACCCTGTAGCAGTAAATGTACTGTGGGAGGTCCTAAATTGGTTAAAAGTAATGAAAAAAAATCAATAAAGAAATAAATAAATGAAATAAATGTGATGCTTTCATTTAGATGTGTATGTACGGTTCCATTTAAATATGACCCCCAGAATATGTGGGAGCTTGTGTGACTGTGATAGATCCACCAGATCTCAGCCCTAAAACTATAGAAACAAATCCATATTTCGCATGACAATGTATTCACAGAATATCAAGAAATTATCTTTTGAAATGTCCACATAATTCATCCCACTCCATCTTCCTATGTTTGGGTTACAGAGATTTCACACATATATCTACGTGCAAACACTTTGTTTAGGATGATGAAATATGACAAGGGAAGTGCATGGCTAGAATTTCTACTAGAGAAAACTAGACGTGAAGTTGACTCTCCATAAGCACTGGACTTCTTTAACAAAAATGTGCAGTGTGTATATTCTAGTCCACAGTATTTACCTTTCTGTTTAAAACCTGACCAATTTGTAATTTCTGATATTGGCTTATTCTATGAGTTTGATGGAAAATTTAAAAGCAAATTAGAGAAGAGCTCATATCCTATTATTACAAATGTCATTCCATTGGAGTGGCAAGACAAAAACCAGTGAAAGATAAAGCATTTGCGATTGAAACTAAAAGGATCTCTCTTTTTTTTACACACAATTAAGCATCTGTTCAAATTTTAATTTTTGTCCTTCTGCCTTTACCACACATATCCACTGGGAAGAAATACATTCATGGACGCGCTGTAATTTAAGTTGTCCATGTCAATAAATCACTTCTAAAAAATTTGAGACAAAAATAAATGCAAGCATTGAATCAATCTCATAAATATTAAACACACCACTCCTTACTAAGTTTATCTTTAGTAATCATACAATATTTATTTAATCAAGTCGAGGACATAATCAGCTGTGTTTTTTTAGTTAAATCACAAATATTCCCAGGCTTTTAAGGGTACCTTTTTTATTGTTATGGTACACATGTTAAAGTATATTCACATTTATGAATAATTTTCAGTTTGTTTTGCTTTAGTAGTTCTGCATTTTTTTTTCATATCAAAATATCTCCCTTAGAAACTTGTCTGATTCCTGCTGGTCCACCGCATGATAATTTTTTGGTGGTACCTTCATATGGGTCACTAAAATGTTATATTTATCATTCATATCTTGTACTGCTGAAACTATCAGATAGATATCTCCTTGAGAATGACTCCAGGAAAGACATCTGTTTGTAAATTCATTGGGACCTGCCACACTCCAGCTTGTGACAAAAGGTGGTGCAAAGCGGTGCATGCAAGGTTAAACTCTTCCTTCCATTTTCTTAATGTGATAATATAAAGATCAGCCCTGACAGTTGAAAGGACCAATTATCACCATAGCTGAATCATCATCAGGACAGATGATGGATGACACACTTGCAAGTTGAACTTATAAGATCAAGTAATAAATAGTAGCTTCTAAATTTTATACTCACAAGCTCATTTTAAAGTAAATGCCATGAGAGAAGTATGTAGGCTTTCATTGCTGAGCTCATTTTAAAAAGGGCAGATTCCTGGCCATCAATCTGAATCCAGCTTCAATATTTTTAGTCATTAACCTGGAAAATATTTTTAGCCTGTGAAGTCAAACCCCTGATCTACATACTTGATTTGAATCAGTGGATTAGAAAGGCAGTTGGGAAACTAAACTTTTCAGAATGTCAGCTGTCAGGGAACTATTCAGAACAAACATGAGCATGTGCTGAGACAGCAGGACAAAGATGTGCAAGTACTGTGGAGAAGACCTGGCATAGTTGCCAGTACTGCACATGCCCGTACTTGTTTGTGCAGGAATGCACGTTAACCTTTGCGTTGGTGCGGGTATGTGCACTACTGCACATTCACACACATCTGCTGCCAGAACTGACATCAAATGTTCTATATAAGGACAGTGGCTGTGCTCAGAATTTGCTGGATGATCTTCATCTACCAATGCACCTTGTTGCTGTGTATCCTGTGATCTTTGGACTACCTGTTGCCGACCTGGATTGCCTCTGGACCTTTCTGCTGCTTGACTCCTGGTTTGACCCCAGTTTGTTATAAGGACTCTGCTTCTCTTGTTCTACCATGTATGACTCTGGTTGTGACTCTCACTGATTATTTCTACAGTGACAGATTTTTTTCTAAGTGGTTGGTATCATGGATATTGTGAACAAAAGAATGCAGACATAAATTAAGCTATTTGTCAATACCTACTACGTGTTATCAACTTTTTTGTAATTACTTTTTCTGTTATAAGACAATAATTATCAGCTAATGAATACTTTTTTCCTTATTACTTTGGTTTGCTGGTTTCCATTCACAATATTGCAGCATTAGAGTAGAAAGGTCCATTGGATCTCTGCATAACAACATAGAGGTTTTTTTAGACTTAATTACTGAAAACACGCAGAACTCTGGCAGCAATGTCAACAGAACCTGTTTACAATATAAAACAGCTATATACAGTGAGGCTGTGTCACAACGTGTAGCAAAATTGGAGCATTTATTCATAGCAGCTGTTAGCTTTCATCTTTCAAACCAGGCAAGGAATCTGGTATGCTACTATGAGCAACAGATTTCTTTTGCTCCACTTTATTTTATACCAAATTTTTTCAAGTCAGACCCTGTGCCTCATAGCTGAATACAGAAACGTAAGACCTCTAGAGGGAAAGTATACATACATATTATACATACTAACCACATTTACTAAATAGTAACAACATTTTTTGTTACCATCCACTCATAATTGTCTCTTTCTTTGGCTGATGGCCAGTTTTTCATGGCTGCTTGAAAGCCACCTAAAATTTAAGCAGGACCTAATATCTTCTCTCAGATGGGGGGAAAGGAGTCTGGATCTGTAAGGAGGAGAAATTGAAGGAAGGAGAAGTTGGGGACTGAAGGGATAATGGAAATAAGGGGGGTAGGTTTTTTGGGGAAAGGGCGGGTGTGGGAAGGATGGGGCAAGGGTTCATGGAGTAGGGTAGGATGAGGTATTTTTAAATAATTGAGGCTATAACAGAGAGGGGAATACATATCAAAGCCATGGATCCCAATTTGTAAGAAATTTGGGTTGTGAGTCAGTAAAAACACAAGATAGTTTGTCATTATTAAGCAAGATATTGTACTCTTTCACTTCTTACAAATTGACTATAGTCTTTCACAGGGTTTAGCAACAATTTGTTTGGTGGCTAGGAAGATAAAGGCAGCTAGGTTTTTCTGTGAGGTAATGAGTGGGTCTGTATGGTGTAGAAGAGCTATCAAGGGATCCCTTGGAATAGTGATATGCAATTTTGACGTTTGATTAAGGTCAAATATTCTGGACTAAAATGAATTAATTTTGGACATGACCACCATGTGTGCAAGACATCACCTTTGTGACACAGCCCCTAAAGCAGCCATCACTATAAGAAAGAACAGCTTTTACAATGCATACGAATATCTAATACCGCCTAAAGAGAACTTCATCAGTTGATTCCATTATAGTCATCTGGAAGGATCATTTGGCTATCCTAAACATGCAAATTTGTAGTATATATCTATATTAGGTGCACTAAGACCCCCTTGCATTTGTGTGGGTAAAAGATACAGCATGGTATTCTGGGTTCTTTGTATGCCCAAATGAAATGGAGATGATGTACGGAGTGTTTATGTGTGTGTGAAAAAGGTGAGGGATGTACCCATTTAGATAGAGTTAAAATAGAATTTAGGGAGGAGGGCCATCTTTACAGTATGTACTGTATATCAAAAAGAAATTGCTGGATTCTTCCATGATAATTTAGGACTAAACAAGTTGATTTCTCTTAACCCCCATTGTCAACAGTTCTCTTCCTCATCTAATGGAACTACCCACCACCTTTATCTAAATAACGGTAACCTCTGTTCTCTTCATAGCTTGTACACAAGAGCAGGCCCCAAGCATTTACTATGAGAATGGGAACATCAGTGCTATCTGCTATCTCATACATTTCATACCTCACCACTGGGCCATTGCTATGCTTTGCAATCTCAGTGAATAATAGAAAGAAGCAAGAAGTGAGTGCTGCAAACAGATTAAAATTTCACTGTCTTTTCTGTCTCTCTAGCTATTGTACCTAGTGTTCCTCATACTGTAGGCTTATTTATAATGTCGATTCTTCTCCTTTTGTGTCATGCTTTCCTACGTATTTGTCTGTAGATTCTAATTCTCTCGCGCTTTTTTTAATTTAAATGTAAAGATGTGTAACATTCTGTTGCTATACGATATAATAATATATAATAATGTTATCATTGATAATATTTGCATTACTATAATCATAATTTTAGACGGTGCTGTAGCTTTTGCTACTTCAGTTTCTTTGCACTCATTTTCATAGGCTTACTATGTATATTTGCTTGATTAAATCATTGGTGCTAGTTTTGTGAAAACAACCGAGGATGGTTGAAAACATTTATGCAAATTGCATGAAAATTACTTTCTGAATTTGTTAGTGCACCATAAGTAAGAAGAACAGCTAGCTGATCTGAAATGATCCAAAATATATATGCAAGAATAGTGAGGCAAGGAAGATTGCAGAATGTTCTGTAACATAAAACATTAGTTGTTGTCATCTCGCTCTTCAGACAAATGTTGCTTAGAAAACTAATTTTTGTTTTGCCGTCAGTCTGGATTATGCAGTTTGCTCTATGCTAAAGGCAGGGATAACGTGAATATTTATGGTTTTCTTCAGTTAACAAAATGGATTAGGTTCCAAACACTCTCCGGCTTTGTGGTCCTTATGTGAATGTTCCTTTTGTTTTAATATTTGTTTGAAAGAACATTGTAATGGAAAAAAAAGATGAAAAATAAGTACAGATATAACACTAACAAAAACAGCAAGGGGTATTTGTGGGAGAAATTGAAAACAAAGAAAATCATAATTTGAACAATTCTGTTTA